AGCCCGCGCCCCGGCGGCCGCGCGCACGTACTCACGTCCGCGTCCCTGTCTCTAGCGGCCCTGCAGGCCCCGCGCGCCAGGGCCAGAGTGGGCGGGGAGATCAGACTGAGCATGCGCGCACCGCCCCCTGTCCCCTGTTGGCCCCGCCCCATAGCCTGGATACAATCACTTAAATCCCTCCAACCCCTAGGCCTTGCCTCCCGCCCTCTAGGCCCCGCCCACAGCCTAGCCATAGCCACGCCCCGACCTGCCGCCAGTCCCTAAGCCCCGCCTCCAGGTTCAGGCCCCGCCTCGGCCTGCCTCCTGCTAAGCCCCGCCTCCTGCCCTCTAGGCCCGTGGTCCAGTCTTAGCCCCGCCCCTCCAGCACCTAAGCCACACCTCCAGGCTCAGGCCCCGCCCCAGCCCACCTCCAGCTCCTCGGCCCGCCTCCTGCCCTCTAGGTCCCGCCTCGGCCCGCCTCCTGCCCTCTAGGCACCGCCCCGGCCCACCTCCAGCTCCTGACCCCAGCCCCAGGCCCCGCCCTCGGTCCGACCCCGCCCAGGTTCGTTTCTGACTGGCTCTGGAGTCTTTGCAGCCGCAGAGCATGACCTTGACTCGCACCCCTTTCTTCGCGTCTACCCCTGTGCACCGGACAGGCTTCGGAGCTGCCACCCTGCCCCAGTGCTGCAGCCCGGTCCCACGACCTCCAGACCCCGGGGCTGGGGATAGGCTGCGGACTGGTGGAGAAGCCGCAACGGCCCCCACAGGGTGCGTGCTCCGATCAGGAACCCGGCTCACAGTGGAGCGATTCGCCTCTGCCCCAGGGTCGCCTCGGACAGCCCTCCCGGAGGGAGCTGCGCCGGCCCTGCAGTGCGAGGCGGCCACTGTCCACTGACCGCCTCAGGCCCGGTTTTCCTGTTCCTCCTGAGTGTGGACCCTACGGCACCCTGGATTCCAGCTGAGCCACCGCTACACAAAACCCTACCCGGGATCTAGGGAGGCCGCTGGGATGGTCCAGCTGTTGTCCCCTGCTCAGAAGGGGAGCCCCAACTCTCTCCAGCCCATGAGGCATGGACATCCCAGGCACACCCCTTCCTCAGAAACTGACCTCTCGCTCCTCAGGGCCTCATCCTCCAGCATCTATCTCTCTGACCCCGCCCTCCCTGTGGTCTGCACTTTCTGCAGGGGGTACTTGGGTACTCCAAGTAAAACTGGTGAAAGGGCGGACTGGCCTGGCTCCTCTCGCTTCGCTGAGCTGGGCGTCTGCCTCCCACCCAGCTTGCCCTGTGGCATCGGGAGTGCTAGTTCTGGCTGTCTAGGGTGGGATTGTGCTCCCAAAAAGATATGCTGAAGTCCTAACCCTGGGTCCTTATGACCATGTTTGGAAATAGGGCATTTGAAGATGTTAACAGCTAGCATGAGGGTATGCTGAAGGAAAGTGGGCCTATCTCATGAGTGGAGTCTTTTTCTTTTTTTTGTAGTAAAAATATGTGGGGAACAGAAGAATTTCTCTCAAGCTGTCTCCCCCCAAATTATGTACCAGACCTAGCCGCTTGAGAATGACTGTACACTGGGCGGTCAGCGAAAGTAGGTCAGAGGTTATTCTCCTTAACACCAGCCATCTAGAGCAACCAGACTGTATAGTCTGATTCACCCTAAGTAGGGCCCAGTCCCTTCTGCTATTGTCCCCTTGAAGTAGTGCCCAAAGGCAAGCCCAGGACCACTCTATGATGACTAAGCTCATCGAGTCCAGGGTCCACCCATCTTGCCACACATGCTCCCCAATTCCCTCTTACTATTGTGCGTTCACCCCTAGGTCATCCCCCTCCTATTGCTTGTATTGCCTATGTTACAACCCCTCCCTATGTCGTAGGTTGTTATCTGCTATCAGGGGGCTTGCATGCCTCCCAGGATAGTAATTGTCTGTTTTATTGTATGAGACACCAGAATGATCAAACCCGCCCAAAGATGAATTGTACTACCCCTCTCTGTGACGCATGATGCTGTGATGTCTGGCGGCCGGATTCCCCTCATGAGGACCATGAAGCAGGGCAGAGGTGAGCAATGCTACCATGTAATATATCTGACTGTATTATTGTAATATCTCTCATGCTCTCAATGACTTTAATATAATACGTACATATCTCAACCGTATTCTGCTTATTGAACCCGTGGGTAGTATTCGTAGCAGCGGGTGGAGCTGGCCCCCACTTCCAACACATTTAATTTAATACTACAAAAATATACACAACACATATGCCAACTCAACAATTGCCCTGTGCCATAGGCCCTACTGATTAGATTCTTTACATATGAAACCATCCTTGCCCTCCCCTTCCTGTTCCATCCATAAACTCAATGACTCCTGCATAAGGCACCTTCCCCACTCCCTCTCACCCTAGTAGACACGAACCATCCTTGGTTTTCTCTGCAAACTCCCTGTGAGGTCAAACAGCAGTGGACCTTTTGTGACTGACTGACTTTACTCAGAATGCTTTCAAAGCTCACCATGTCTGGCACACATGTGGCCTGAGGCAGAGGAGGGACACCACGTGGCACTGCAGCTGCAAACCAAGGAGCACCTGGCAGCTGCCAGATGCTGGGCAAGAGCCACGCAGCAGAATCCCCTCCCCTCCGAAGGAAATTACAGTGCCCACAGACACCGTTAGCGCTCCCACTCACCAGGACTCACCTAGAACGGTCCCGTGAAGCCACTCCCTCCGGCTATTTGTTCCAGCAGCTTAGCAAACTCACAGAGCTATTACTATACGTATCTCCAGGCTAAATGATCACAAGCAGAGTGTTGGCATCAACTCTCAGGCAAGGCTGTGAGGATGTAGTGTTGGCTTTGCCAAGTCCAGCAGAGTCGACTGGCCACTGAAATGGGTATAGAGACAGGGCTGTGGGAAACAGAACCAGGAGAGAGAGTCTCCACGGACGGATTCTCTGCGTTCATAGTCAGCGTCTGGGAGGCCAGGGCTCCTGTGGAGGGAGAACTTACACCTTCATCCGTGGGTTGGAGATGCGTTCCATTCCCATTCTCCTAAATCAAAGTTATTTCCCATGATGCCCCCCCATAATAATGCCAATTTGAAGGTGCTACTTGCAAGCACATGGGCGCTACTATACATGCTTGAAGGTCAACTGCATGAAGTCTACTTGCCTGAAGGTTGTCTGCCATGGAGGGCAGACCGAGGTGAGGCTGCCAGTATGTGCCTTCCTGTCACGTGTGTGCCCCTAGTGCCTCCCCTTCCTACGCGTGCACACACCCTAGCTCGTTCCCCTCCTGTTACGGGTGTGCCTATTGTACAGCCCCTTCCTGTGTTCACCGGGCTTGCATGTGTGAGATTATATAAGCTTGCCAGAGAATACATGACAGACTCATTCTGGTTCGTCTCGATCGGAAGAGGGGAGCCCTCTAATGTACCCCTCAATCACACAACCATACCCTAGGACCCATCTGGATGTGAGGCTGGATCCCACAATAGGGCAAAGCCCTGGCCAGAAAGCTGGCTGCACACCAAGTGCCAGGAGGGTGCCCACCTGCTCTCGTAAGGATACCACTGGAGCCACCAGCTGGTTACTGTCATAAACCAGTCTGAGATCTACCCAACTCTTCACTGGGGGGAAAGCACTCCACCCCAACTCCTTCCAGGTCCAGGGCACCCTGCCTCTGGGTCAACTTCTTGGTAGAGAGGGAGGTTCCAGAGACTTCCATATGACCCTTCCCCCACAGGCCAGTCCTGCAGGAATCCTACCTGTTGTCTTGTATGCCCATTTTAGTTCCATGTGAATGGGTGAACCCACCGAGACCCACACCACTTCTCTTCTTGTGGGGGGAGGTCAGCTGAGCAGGCATTCCCTCCCCTGAAGGCAGTTGCCAGACTGCTGTCTCATCCCACCACAGGGATGGGCCTGCTCCCTGCCTCTGGGGACAATGGACAGGCTCCTGTAGGAGGAGTTTTCACCCTACGGATAATGGTTCCTATGGAGACCCAGAGACCAACCCCTAGACCACCCACTCATTGCTGTGTAACCTATAGTGAAGCTCCTCCCTGTGATGTATGTCTCTACCTGTAATTAGTGGGCTGGCTTGCCCCCAGAAGGTATATAGGTGTGAGTCAGCAATATAGAGCTCTCTGACCTCCTTGCTGCTCACTCCCTGGTCACTCCCCTCTCTTCCCCCTCTCCCTTGTTCCCTTGCCCTCCTTCCCTTCCCCCTCTCTCCACGTGGACCACCAAGCTGGGCTAAGATGAGCAATGCTACCATGTAATATGTCTGACTGTATTATTGTATTATCTCTCATGCTCTCGATGACTTTGATATAATGCTTATATATCTCAACCGCACAATTGTGCATTACTGAACCCAGAAGTAGTATTACTGAACCAGTGAGTTCTAGTAGCGGGTGGGGCTGATACTCCCCCCACCTCCGCGTCACTTTTAATTTAATACTACATCATCTGGTCCCCATAGGCCCTGCCCTGGCAGACCAGGGGCCACATGCACCGCGGGTTATAAACATGGCCCGCAGTCTCTCCACCTGGCAACTCAGGATGTTTCTGGAACCTCCTCCCCTACACACACACCCTCCCACCTGTCATCACCTCTAGTGGGGCCCTGACACCCCCAACAGCACCCCAGGACACTACTCTTCCCCAAAATCTCAACAGGGGATGCCACCCTCTTCTCTGCTGCAACATGGCCATTCCCAACAGCTTCCCAAACGACACATGTCCAAACATTGTTCAAAAAAATACTTTATTTATTAAACAATATATCCATGATCTATAACATGTTCCAAAAATACAATATACATCTTTACATGATTTCATAAAAAGACTTACAATATTCTCTCTCATTTACAAAGGGAACATAGATCATCATTCCTTGCAAATAAACAGGGCATTCCCGTGAAAGCTGTCACTTGGAGATGTAAAGCTGACACCACAACACAAAGAACTCACTTAGTGAGAATGCTCCTCTTGTCCCCCCCACCCCCCACCCCCACTGCCCTCCTCTCAGCACCAGCCAGAGACCAGCACTGTGCACGGACATCCAGGAAGGCCCTCTCCAGTGCCCAGGACTGAGCATGGCCTGACCCCCAGCACCCCCACCTCTTTGCCCACAGAGGCTGCTGTGCAGACACCTTACTGCTGAAGAGGGGAGTGGGGGCTGGGCCTCCAGGGGCAGTGCTAGGCTGCTTTCCTCTCTGTCTACCCAGAAGCCTCCTGTGACCTGGCCCAGGGCCTGCTGGGGACAGTCAGCCATAGCTCTGGGCTGTGCACTTCCTCCTGCTGGCAGACCCTTGGGTCCCAGGGCCTCGCAGTGCCGACGCCAGGAAGTTCTGTCTCAGCACCCATTCCTTGCTCACAGGAACCTTTGGCTGAGGCAGCACCAGAGCCTCTGTGGGACCAGCGCATCTGCCCCTCAGCCTCTGCAGAGTCCCAGGCCAGGCGACCCCTGGGCAGTGGCCTCACAGAACACGCTCCGTCACTCACTCTGCAACAGTTGAACACCCGGAAAGGCATGCACTCGGGCAGTAGAATGTTCTAGGGAGTTGCACCTCCCTTCCGCTTCTCTATGCTTCTCCAAAGTGAGATGTGTATTGTTCAGTGATATTATTCTAACTGGCAAAGTCAACATTACAGAAACAGAACCACAAAACGTCAGTACACGAGCCACGGGGGTGGGTGGGGGGGGGGTGGGGTTGTCCACACAGGGTGTGCAGGACCACTAGGCAGAGTCCACAACCGAGGGTCTCCAGTGGGTGGGCGAGCTGTCCATCAGCTCAGAGGAAGCACAAACAGCACTTAGCTTCTAAGAGAGCACCAGGCATCGTCCTACGAAAACCTACTGTGCTCACCTGCCCTCCACACACAGGGGCAAAGGGGAGGCCACACCTGTGGACACAGCCTAGGTCAGGATGCTGGCAACTCCCGCCAGCAGGCCATCAATCCACAGGGTGCTGGCTCCATCGGCCTGGAACCGGCCAGCATAACCCTGTTCTCCCGAGGCAGAGGGCTCCTGGGGACCCACTCCCTCAACCACAGCCGCTCAGCTGGGGAGGTGCCCACCTGTCTGCCCTCAACTCCACCCCTGCTTCTACATCGGCAGAGATCAGGGCTGTCTCCAGGTTCTGGGAGCCAATGGCCCACTGTCCCCTCCTGGGACATGGCCTCCCTGTGGCCAGGGCACAGCACTCTTTGGGAGGACGCAGCCTCTCCTGGTATGCATCTCCGTGTGGCATCTCTGGGTTCCTCAGAGAGAAGCTGCAGGCCGCGAGGTCCGGCCGAGCCCCTAGGGCCTGTCAAGAGAGGCCCCCGGGTGGAAGCCGCTGCTTCACCATGAACACACAGCCAACTGATCCCAGGCCGAATGCTGCAGGTCCCGGCCACTGGGGCAGCCTCCTCACACAGTCATTTCTCTCCACAGCAGAAGTGTCCCGGATCCCAGGCACAGCCCCAGGGACAGCCCAGGGACAAAGTGGGACTGGGCCCCAGAGACAGGGGTCTGCAGTCTGTGTTGCAAAGCCAGGAGGCAGGCACGCCCACTGCATGCATGTCAGAGAGGGAGGGGAGTCCTGGCAGTTCTGGAAGGTCCAGAGGCCCTCAGCAGCACATGGGCCACAGTGCAGCTACATACAAACAGGTCTCCGCTGGCTCCCTGCGTGTCCTCCAGGCCACTGAATTCTTAGGGACCAGTGGGAACAAGGTGGCTTCCAGATGAGGGGAAATGTTGTCACAGGAGAGGAGGGAAGAGCAGCTGCTCTCCACCGACCAGGACCTGCCCCGACCTCACTTCTTCTTCCGCTTCTCCTGCACACACCGCGGGCAGAACCTGTGAGGAGCACAGCACTCAGACCCGAGAAGCCCCCCCATGCCACCTCCTGTGCCATCCACACCCAGCCCCCAAGCCCAGCTCCGAGACCCTGGGGGAGAGCGGTACAGAGGCTTCGAGGGAAGATGGACAGGCAGCTGCCAGGCCCCAGACTGACCATTTTCCTTTGGGCTTGGTGGTCAGATCCACGCAGGCAAAGTGGAACCACTCAATAGGGCACTGCAGAGGGCAGGACATAGGGCAGTTAGTGGACAGAGGCCCTCTTCCTGGGCCTCCCCCCGCCCCCTCAGGGGCACTCACGTCGGGGTTGTCACAGCCGATCATCTCTCCATAGGACACCTGGTGGCACAGGCAGTAGGTGGGCTCATTGGGGTCCACGGGCATGTCCAGCACGTCCGAGGGGTGCACAGATAGAACGGTGTCAGCAAACTCAGACCTGCGGGGCAGATCGGCCATCGCAGGCGCTCTCAAGGGGCCTGGCCCAAACCACAAGCCCCTTCCAAGACGGCCCAGGGGGAGATCACGTGTCCGACAGACAGACTCGGGAATCTCAGGCAGATTGATGCTGGGCACTCTCACCATACAATGACCACAGCAGTGACCCCCGACGTCCCATGGAGCTCAGAATGCCAGGCCCGGAGAGCTCAGCACAGCAGGACAGCCGGCCCTCCTCTTGCCCACTCTCCACCTTCTCCCCGCCGCACCCTTGCCCGGAGCCCAGAGAAGCAAGGCTACCCCATCACCCCACCTCGGGGATATTGGGAGGAGATGGGCTGCAGCATCTGTGCTGCAGCAAGCACATGGGGAAACGTATCTTGTCCGCATGAACGCCCTGGTGCTCGCCACCTTCTCCAGCAGGCCCCAGAGCCGGCCCCTGGTGGGAGCTGCACTACGAGCCAGGCGCCCAGCAGGGGCAGCAGGCCAACCTTGGGCTGCAGCAGACCGGCCGTGCCCATCGGCGAGCCGTCCAGGGTCCCTGGTTGTCCCTGTGGGACCACCTACCCGCCTTTATGTTTCTTCTTCTTCGGCGTGTCCTCTTCGGACGTCCTCCTGCCCCGCCCACGGGAACCCCGCTTCTCCTTCTGGCTGCGCCCCTCTGAGAATCAGTGAAGATCAACATGTGTCACCAGCTGGCTGGTGCGGCGATGGTGTTTGCTGTCACGCCCTAAGTGTCCCAGGCAAACCTCTGCGCAAGCCCACCGCCCACAGCCGCGACCCAGAGGAGGCACCAACTTGCTTTTTAAGGCTCGGCCTGCAGAACCCTCCAAGTCGCTGCCCCCCAGCTTGTCCTTGAGGTCGGCCTCAAAGCGCGCCAGGTCCGCATCCAGCCTGCGGATATGCTTGTCCACCTGCACGGGGCAGAGGGCACCAGAGTACCCGGCACAGGGACAAAGCCTCAGGCCAGCATGACGACGCTGCACTGAGCACCAGCTGGTCACATGGGGACACGCACAGGACAAGCAATCGCAGAGGCCAGGTCTTGTGAATGGTCATGTGCACCCAACTGAGTGAGAGACAGACAGACCGCCAGACCCACACCCACGGCTGCAACACCCAGTTTCTACTCAGGAGGGTGGGAAACTGCAGATTCCACCACCGTCGAGCCTGCTGTACGCTGTCCACATGAAGGACCGGGTACCGCTGCAGCCAGCGAGGCACCCAAGACTCACATACAGCAAAGTGTCATGCAGGAAGGGTCCTCTGGGTGGGATTTAACTTCAGGAAGCTCATCGGGCCCGGCATCCGGCCCCCTCCCCCCCCCCCGATCTACAACCCCATGCTTTGCCTATCCCACCCCACCTGCCCCCACCGTGGAGCCCCTCACCATCTCCGAGGTCTGCATGGCACCTTGTCATCACTGCAACCCTCCCCCGTGGTGCCCCCTGACCACCTCAGAGGTCGTCCCCCTCGCCATCTCTTAGGTCTGCCCCCGCCCCCCTGCCCCTCACCATCTCGTAGGTCTGCATAGCCAGCTGCACCTTGTCGTCACTGTACTCGCGGCACTTGCTGTAGGCACTCTGGATCCTGTGCAGGTGCTCCACGCGCTGGTCGGGGGAGAGGGCCTTCACCCGGGAAAGGTACTCGGCTGCCAGCAGGTCGATCTCTGCCTTCTTATCTGCAGGAGCCACGGACACCAGCCCCCATGAAGCCACCCCAGACCCTACCTCTAGACAGATCAGCCTGCTCCCACCCCCAGCACTTCTGGCTCCAAGGACAAACCAGCCTGTCCCCCACCCCACCAGGACCCGACTTCAAAGACAGACAGACCAGCCTGCCCACTGTCCACCACCAGGCCCGGACACCACGACCGGTGGGCCACCGGGCCTGCCCTTTGAATGACCAGCTGTATGCTCTCCCCCCATAAGGCGGCCCCACCCACAGGTGAGTAGTCAAGACTGGAGATGCAAACAAGCCCCGCCCAGGAAGCTGCCTGGCACCTTCTTCCAGCAAGAATGACAGCAACAAGGGCCCATGAGAGGGGGCAGCAGCACTGGACCCGGGCCTGGGACCGTGGAGGGTGGACACGCTGAAGACAGGCCCCTATCGCCACCCCTACCCCCGCAGAGCGAGAGCAGTGCGGGCACTGCCCGTCCTCTAGAAAAGCCTTGAGCCGCACCGATGCTCACCTGGTCTCAGTCAAGATGCCGCGCCCAATGCACAGGGCCCAGGTGTCTGCCCTCACAGAGCCCGTGCCCACATGCCACAGCCCCCAGCACCCACACCAGAAAGCCTCAAGCGCAGGCAGGTGGAGAGCCAGAGCGGCTCCCTTGCACACACCGTCCCTAGAAGGCACGTGCCAGGAAACGTGCCATCTGGAATCTCCAAAGGGCTGACCTACCAGGAGGCCGAATAACCACCCAGCAGCCCCTGCGCCAGCAGATGCGGTCGTCTGCTCCTGGACAGACACACAGCCTTAGAACCCTGGGGAACAGAGGGTCACCATGAAATACCGGTTCCCCCAGGACAGCCTCCTCTTGGCCATGCCTGCAGGTGGGTCTCTCGGGCCCTCACTCAGTCCCTCAGACCTCTTGGGCGGCTGCTATAGCACTCTTACAGCTCCACCAGTAAGGAAGGGCCCAGGGGCCTCAGCTGACTCTCTCAGAGGGCTGGGAAGCCCACTGAGCCACCTCCTGCCATGTCTTTGTTCTAACTAGCTCTCACACTCTGGGAGTCAGGCCTGTCTGTCTGAAAGAGCAATGAGGGGTCTGGACCAAGTCACGCCACGGAGTTCGAAGTGCACCACAGCCAAGAGGGGGCCGCTCCTCCAGCGCCCTGAGAAAACACACCTGGGAGCACCAGGTGGGGGCTCCAGCCCTCCCATGTCGCCCCAAGAACGGCTTTTCCTGAGTTCTGTGTTCCTTCTACTGAACAATCAAACCTGAAAGGGAAGGGGGCAGGGGGTGCGGTCACCATCGCCATTGTTAGGGGCTGCCGAGTCGTCTCCGTCTCATGACCCCACTTACAACAGAGGGAAACACCGCCAACCTCACAGTCACGGCTACATGAGCCCGCTGCTGCAGCCTGTCGAGCATCTCCTCGAGGGGCTTCCTGTCGCTGACCCTCTCTCCTGCCAGCAGGTCCAAAGTCCGCGCTTCAAAGGAGCATTCAGGAGGTACGTCTTCCAGGTCAGCTTTGCCTATCCCTCTGGGGGTCACCAGCACCGTCATTCAAATGTACTGGCCAGTCTGCTGTCCTTCATGTTCACTGTGCACACAGAGGGACGGGAACCCCGCCGGCTCAGGTTGGTGTGCTGTAATACCATCCTCACTTGGGAGCATTGAACACGGTCTTTGTGGGCGGCTTCCCGGTGCACCAAGTCCTTGGCTCTCTGCACTGCTGCTTTCCTGAGCGCCAGTGGACCCAGGTAAAATGAAATCCCAGGCAACTTGGATCTGTCTCCACTTGGCATGCTGTGCCAGGTGCTGGGTGTGTGGCGAGGACTCGGGCTTCCTGAATTGTAATGTTGGCAGTGGCGGCAGCAGCGGCCTCCGCTTGGCATCGGCCAGTGCTTCCAGTCCTCGCTTTGAGCAGCTGGGTCATCGCCTGCACTTCCCGGTTGCTAAGGAGCCTTCCTCCACTGCTGACACCGCAGTCTTCCCGGACATTCCAGCTTCGCGGGAGATTTGCTCAGCGGACACACCAAAGCTCCGTGGTGAGAGGATACAACCGACTCTCCGTTCCCGCTTTTAACCCACAGTGACCCTTGTTCTCCTGTCCACATACAGGCTCCACACGAGCAAAAGGAAGAGTTCTGAGGTCCTTGTTCTCCCCAGGGGCAGCCTGGCTGTGACTCAGTGGCATGCCTGAGGGCAGTCAGTGGTCAGTACTCTGCTGTTCACCAAGATCCATCACGGTCAGCCACGGCAGCCCTCGCGCCATGTCCTCTTCTGAATCCGCTTGACTGCGGGCAGCTTCCCATCAACGGACTCCAGCAACCGTTTTCAAATTACTTTCAGGAAACCTCACTTGCATGTGATATGAAGGACATCTCTGGCCAGTGGGCCCCACATTCATTTGAGCACAAACCTGTATCTTTTCCAATCAGCTGGCCAGCTGGGCGGTCCTCCCATTTCCTCAGTGTAGCTGAGGGAGCACCCCCCAAGCTCCAGCTGCAGAGACATCTCTGTTGGGATGCCATCAACTACTGGCGCCTCTCCCATGCGCTTTCAGCGCAGCCTAGCCTTCTCCCTTCAGCACCACTGGTTCTTGACCCTCTGCCAAATCTTGAATTGGCTGGCCACCAGAGACTGCATTCTCCCATCTTCTTGGGATGCTTCCTGCATCCTTCAGGGTTCGGACCACCAAATCCTTCCATCTTCAAACACAAGTCTTGAGTTTTTCTTTATTTCCCTATTGGCTTTCTGACTCCACTGGAAGGAATCCGTGAAGACCATCCCACCTGTAGCCAGTGGTTCAGACGTGGACCCCCAGATGGAGGCCGGTGTCAGAGGAGGGGCCAGCTCACGAGAACTATGCCCTCAGCTGGTGCAGCCTAGCACTCAAGGCAGGGAAAATCTCAAGCCGAGGGGAAACCAAGGGTGAAGCCGCAGCGGAAAGCTGTCCTCTTGCAACAGGAGAGGAGCCACAGGGCAGCGGATCAACGCTGGGCTGCCAACCAAAAGGCTGGTGGTTCAAGCCCGCCAGCCGCCCCGCAGGGGAGGGAACGCCGAGGCAGTCTGCTCCTGTAAGGCCTCAAAGCCTTGGAAATTCGCAGGGCAGGTCTGGTCTCTCCTAGACTCAATAGCAAGAGGCTGTTCTCTGGGTTTGAAACAGGCAGTAAAACACCAAGAGGCAGGAGGGACCACTCTGGATTTTAAGCTATGCTTACGGTTTAAAGCTGGAAATGTTCCTTAAAGGAAAGAGAGAAATAGTAAACATATTTTGATAAGAAATGCCAGTGTGGGGACAGCAAAGGTTTGTGGTAAGAATTCAGAAACAGAATCCGATTGTGAGCCTATCAGCACCCTCCCGAGTCACTGCCCGCTCAGTGCCTGCAATCCGAGCGCCCCCCACCCCCACCCCACCCCCCAGGCCCTCTGACATCCTCGTCAGTCGGAAGTTCCTCTCACCACCTCACCACCAACCCCAAACTCTGGACATGTGGCTGCCAGCCCCACCTTCGGTCCTCTGGTCCAGCTCCCGCATCAGCTGAAAGTTCCTCTGAAGCTCACAGGGCAGGCTTTCGATACCTGGAACAGAAAACCAGGCTCCGTGTCAGCTCAGCAGCAGATCCAGCAGAAGCCCACACGGATGGCGACACCTGCCTCTACCTGCTGTTGTGGTTTGCAGAGGAACGGGCACACAGGACAGGGTCAGATCAGCAGAGACGCAGCCCCCAACAGCTCTCCCTGGGGCCAGCCTGACCCCCACCCCGCCCACCCCTGCCCAGCTGCAAAGAAACCTAACACCAGTAGCTGCCCAGTATGGCAAGCGGGCTTCTCTGCTCGGGGCCAATGCGCCTGCAGGCCTGCACACCCTCTCCACCCTAGTGTCTCTGCTCCTTCTATGCCCCACTGCCCTGGACAATCCCATGGCCCCATGCACATCCCTCTCTTCCACCCTCCATGCCCCTAGGCCCCTCCTCTCCGCTGTAGGGCACCTGACTGCCCTGCTGCAGGTCAGGCTCTCTCCACCTGCTGTGACTCCCTAGCCCCCTCCCTGCCTGTGGCATCGAGCTTTGGGGCCATGCTGGCTTCCCTCGTGCCCCCGCCCTGCTTCCAGAGTGGCCGTTGTATTCTCAGCAGATGTCAGGGTGATCCTGGGTCACAGTCAACTCCATAACTGTCTTTGGCAATGATGGGGGCCACCGCCTCCCCTCACCAGGCTTTATATCCAAGCATCCACTGTTATGGCTGGGCCAGGCAACAGAGTGGTGTGATCTGGGCACACTCTCTCAGGGAGCCAACCCAGTGCTCTGGGGTAGGTCTGGCCTGGGGCTTGCTGGAGTCCCATCACAATGTGGTCTGGCCAGCCCACCTGGAGGGCCACCAGCTTCAAGTGCCCTCAACCCCACAGCCACTGGGTTCACACACAGGCTCAGCTAACTGTAGAGTCTCCAGCCTCGCTGAGCCTCAATTCCCCCCTCTGTTAAATGCGGAGGTGATCTCCCAGGAAGGTGCCCGGAAGCACCTGTCACTTCACGTGAGGGGGCAGCAGAGGACCCTAATCACCGCGCGGCGGGAAGTCTTGCAACGCGGAAGCCTGGTGGTCCCGGCCCCACTGGGCACATCAAACTGGGGGGGGGGCAGAGGGTGGTGTGTGAGCAGGTGCTGAGAAGAGTTCCCGGTAAGAGTGCATGGGGGTACAGCTCCGGAGGCTCCCGGGGTGCCACCCACCATCACCTCAACTGCAGGGACTGCCACGGATCAGGTGGGGCCCTTCTGGCCCCACCCACCACGCAGTCCCCGCCCACCTGGTCCTCCGACGGTTCGAGCCTAGCTGGTCTTGGCCCCACCCCTCCACCCCGCCCCACCGCACCCTGCAGGCACGGCCCAGCTCATCAGGCCAGAGCTCATCCAGTCCGGCCCACCTGGCCGCAGGACTCAGGCCCCGCCCGCCCCGCTGC